TTGGCTTCATTTTTCAGGGCCGGTTGCTACGTCCATCTTTTATACAGTCTATAGTAAGCCCCCAGCAGGCATGTTGTCTTCATTTTCGATCATGGGGCGTAACCTAAAATCTCAAAGTACTGCATTTAAAAACTAAAGTAGTCGAAAACACATGTGTGACACCCCAACAGGAAGTCACCTGTAAGCTTGTAGCTAAATGTTCTGTTAAAAGACTGTTTAGTCAAGTACAGCTGAACTGGAAAGTGTTATGACCGTGTCTACTGGGAGGGCAGTGGGGAGATGAAGTGAAGGGCAGCTGGTTGCCCAAACAAAGAGTGCAGTAATTGAATAATTGGATGACACCAACATCTACTCAACACAGATTTGTTTTGGGAGTGGCTGCTTTTGAGCAGCAACCTGTTCTTACTCAGACTGTTCCTGGACAGACAGCTTTGCTCGCTGACATTTCCTTCAACCAGAGTCGTCCACATGGACAATGAGCAAATAACAGTTCAGGCTTACTTCAGCACCAGTTTTATTTATTCATGACTTCTGCAAGCAAAATGGTAGCGTGTCTATGCAGAAGGTGAGGCCATCTGCGAAAGTAAATATGTAAGACTGAAGGTAACAATATTTTTACTGTTTATATATCTGTTAAATTTAATGACCTACAGATGACAGCTGCCTCTGCATTTACAGTGTCACGCCCATCAGTCCCATATAGAAATGAGCTGACACCCGTTTCTTTTCCAGTGCTCACCATATGTCTAGTTGGCTCGCCCATCATAGCAGAAGGTCTTAGCCAGCGGGTCCTGATGGAGCTGCAGGGGAAGAAGTGGAGAGAAAATAGAGTTGCATCTCTTTAACCTTCATTTTCTGTCTCTTTCATTCTTAGTGTATCAATTTTGTCAAACACACACACACACACACACACACACACACACACACAGCACATTCTGATTGTCTCAGTTGATCTACTCCTCCTCCTCTACAAGTGGGTCATACTTCCTGGGTCAGGCTGAGATTGAAGCAGGGGCCTCTGGGAGTTGTGGTTGTTTCTAGCTGGTTGAGTGAGCATTCATGCTTTTGGGTGTGTGTGTGTGTTGGTTGTGATGTTCATTAATAGCACAGCTAATTGCTGCATAGTTCCCAGTCCCCTTCGAGGCGCTGATAATTAATTGGTTAATTATTTGGATGAAAGAGCCAGCTGTGTATGTCAAGTCACCTGATGTGTCAGCGTCCGCCCTGACATTCACAGCGCAGGCCATGACTTCACACGAGAAATTTGTAAAAAGATGAAAGGCAGCAGCTAACCAAGTCCCAGTCTGCCTGACACTGAAAAGCAGAATATAAAAGACAGTACAGGCTGCAGGCGATGACCTCCTGCACTGCTGCTGCAGATAAAGGTGGTGTAAAAACATACCTACAACACATGGAAAGAAAAGAGGGCTTTGCTCCATTTTCTGAGGGAAACAGTAATAAATTAGTAGAAAACTGGGTAGTTTTGGGAAAGATGAATATGTACTTTACAGATCAAATCAAACATCACAGCAGAAGTGCAGTGTGCTTGATGTAAGATAAATAACAGAAGGTGCTCTTTTGGGATGGCTAGCACCTAATTTCACGCCACATCCTGGACCATTTGGTGCAAACTCAGTCCTTAGTTGTTTATAAGTACAAATGTGTTCCCGGTTATTTGTACATGGCAGTAACTCAAACATTACCAGCTGTTTAGATTTCAGGTTTAAAACTCACTTTGAACCAAAGTGGTTTTGGGGTAAAACAAACTTTTCCTGTCGAGGTTCCAATACAAATACAGGTTACCATGTCATGTCTTCTCCCTGGAGGATTCATGACAAGAGGCAGGAGAGGAAGTTCCCCATGAACAACAGTCAGATGCTCTCTCGGGGTTGTCTTACATCTCTGCTCTCTCTTTTTCCAGGCATCAGCACACTGATAGCTAAAGGCGTGTATGATGCTGCCTTCCCCATTCACGATGTAAGTGTGATTTTTTGAAAGTCTCATGAGACACCAGTTGATTTCAGTGTGCTGCACTATAATTCAGCTTTCAGCAAGTGGAAACTTTCTTGGAACAGGAGTCACAGCCAGTCAGTCAGAGTTTTTTTTGCATCTCTTCTATTTGTCAGACGTGTTATGTTTTGTAAAACAAGTCCTAGCAAGTACTGTGGCCAAGTGCCACTTTCTCATTTAAAGGAAAAATTTGCAGCGATATTCACAAATGTTGAAGCTACAAGCTCATTTAAAGCACAAATAAGGAATATTTCCTGCTCTCAACTGCATCAGCATGTTTAGAATAAGCTGTGCTACAAATAAAGAAAAGGGGGTAAGGGTAATACATCTTCAGCTACATTTTAGGTCTCTGCAGTAGAAATACGTTTAAAGCAGTGTGGATTGGAAATCAAGTCCAAAAGCGACAGAATTTTGTGACAGAAAACTGATTAATAGTTTATTTGTGAAGAAATGCACAATCATCAGTGTGGCACTTAAATAAAAATGAAACCTTTTAAATTTCAGCTTCCAAGACCGTTTGAAAAGTGTCTCTGTGTGAAAATGTGCTGCGTGGTTTTAAAGTTTTAAAGATTAGTTTGTCAATCAGGACCACGATTAGCTGTCCTCAAAGAACAGCTCGTCTTCCTGAGGTCCACATCAAAAACATACAGAAAATATTAAACATGCAAGAAAATATGAATTGAACATGTCACCAAAAAGTACAGAAAAACAAACCACTAAGAAAAAACAATCTGTTCTCATCACGTATTTCATTTGTAGACTACGTATAAGTAGCTGACCGTTACTCTCTTCATGTGTTGTGTAAACATCACGACAACTGGTACATATGTTTTTGTCAGACTGCAAGATGTGCAGTGTATTATTCCATAAAGCTAAAAACAGAGGACTTGACTATAATACATCCACGTGTTAATACATAAAAGGAACAGAGAACTAATCTTCTGTTTTGTACAATCTGAAGCTTTTTAGATGTTTTTAGGCAGCACTAAGTCCTGGTAACTGGCAGTCCTGAATGTGTGATGGAACAAATGACTAAACAACATCTATCATAACAGAAGCTGGAATGTATGCAGAGCTTTTCTTTGACATACAAATACCTTCTCCCATCAGGACACTAAATGATCTAGTTTAACACCGAGTAAGTTTCAGTGACCTGCTGCACTGGTATTCTGTCTAGCTCTGATTTGTTCAGTGTTTCTTTATATTGGCACACCGTATTAATGGAAGTCTGTTTTTACAGTCTGTGCATGTTTATTTCTACGTGTCCGTTATTGTGTGTGTGCGCCTTCGTGCACTCATGTTTGTCACCCTCTCTTCTCACTCCTCAGGGTGACTATAAGGTCATCGGACACCTCGAGGAGAGGAACGACAGACAGGTGAACGACAGATTCTGCTTTCATTCATCTCCCTCTCTTTCTCTGTGGCTTATTCTTCCGTTTGCCTCTTCTCCTCCTACTCCTCCTCCTCCGCCTCCTCCTCCTCCTCCTCCTCCTCCTCTCCATCTGACTGTGTAATATAAAAATACAGAAGTTCAGCACCACAAACAGCCACTTTTGTGCATTTGCTCTGCTCCGGTACTTTAGAAAATGACCTTAAGTGATGTGGTGCAGCCATTAAGACAGAAATGTCTCAGCTAAAAGTACCATGCAAGACATTTGAACTTCCAACAAGTTAAAAGCAAGGGAACCTCCATTTTTCTCAACAATGGTTTCATCTATGCTCTCCTCATCTCCTCTTTTAAGACTGCTCCATCTTCCCATCTGTCTAACACTGCCACAGATTGGAGTTTAAGTTCAGTAAACATTTCTCAGACACAAAGCTGTTGTGAGGGCAGAAAAAATATCCATTGACTGACTGAAATTTCAAAGGATGGAGAAAAACAAAAGCAGTTTCTTGGAGTGCACACTGTAAACAAATAATAAGAAAGAAATCTGTTCCAAATACAATGAGAAGCGTTGTTAACAGCCTCCTCCACAGTCATGCTCTAATGGTCCGCAGCCTAATCTAACCAGATAAACCAGATACTTAGTGGTGATTTATTATATTGTTTTAGCATCAGGAGCGCCAGGCTTTATGCTGCTATCTTCCTCCTCTCTTACCGTGTTTCACTTGGCTTCAGGATAATGTTACTTGCACTGCAGCTCCATGGCTTCATCCACTGAGGTTTAATTCAGCCAATCAGAATGTTTCTGCCTCCAGATCAGCTCTGCCTCTGAGAATCATTTTCAACTTGACAACATACACCCACACTGTATTCTGTCTCTGTCTCTCTCTATCTGTCCTGTCTCTTGTCAGGTTCTGCATGAAGAGTGGGCCAGATACTCAGCCTTTTACAAGTACCAGCCCATTGATCTTGTCAGGTAATGTGACCACAACACCAACACAGAGAAATCAGTAACTCAATTCTTTAGGCCTCAAAGTGCGTTTAGTCTAATTTGCAGCTAAAGATAATTGTTATATAAAGACAGGTGACAAATTAAAGGAAAAACCAGCATAAAGTGTCTGAGGTTGTAAGGTGTTGGGCCACTGTTTGCTGGTTCACTGTTGGTCTTAACTGACTCTCTAAGTCTCTAGACTCTACAGGAGAGATGAATGCCAATCTTTTAAAAGATATTCTCTCATTGGGTCTTGTGATGATGGTGAGTGGGTGTGCTTGATCCGAAGTCTTCCACCGTGAAGGCCGTAGCTTGTGATTCACATCATATCCATACTCATCAAACCGTTTAGTGACCCCTCTTGCTCTGTGGATGGGATCATTGTCATTCTAAAATAGAACACTCCTATCAGGATATAAATGTTTCAGCATAGGATTAAGGTGATCAAACAGAAAAAAAACTTTGTATTGATTTGCAGTAACTCTTAAGGGGACAAGTGGACCCAAACCAATGCCACCTGCAGTATCACAGAGCCATCAGATTTCTTCTCACCTTTGATTTGTCACCAGTCTTAGCTAGAGAGCAGTGCCTTAGTGTAGTTCACTAACAATGTGTTATATTGGATGAATTTTTATCTTTAAAATCCAACCATCCATTATCTACACACCACTTCATCCTCACCAGGGTAGCTGTGAGGCGACGGGGCTAATGCACAAATTAATTGAAATGTACTGTGATTACATTCATCAGCTGTGTGCATCACAGCACAACTATGGATGTCCAAATCTTAATGGACAATTTCAGACTTTATTTCAGTATTCACATGCCCACATGTACCATAGTTATCATCACAACATTCATACCGGTCATGAAACGACTCCTTACAAACCCCATTACCTTATAGGAGTAACAAAATCCACAGTCCTAGTTTTGTGCAAAAACTACGTTGTTTTTATTCTGAAGTTAATTCAAGGCTTCAGCAGTCTTAGTTATCTGAGTTAAGCAGCTGTCCTCCAAAGCTATAGTCCCTTTTTGAGGATCCCTCTGTCTGTCTGTTTTTTCTACAACTTCTAATTTTATATGGTACATGTGAGAAATGGAAAAAAAAAAGTATCATCCTTCAAGTTCAGAGCAAGGAGGACCACTTCACATGCCTCAAGAGTTTGAAGTCTAGAGTGAAAGAGAGACTTATAATGTTTGAAACTAATCTTTATTAGCTGGTAGATAAGTTTGGTTGTGTTGAGGTGAAAAAAACTGTGCCTTTATAAAATTCCAGCGTATCCATTCAGTTTGAATACATTGAATGAAGGACCCTGGTCTATATGAGGCATCACTAACGCATCGTGAATGCTGCTTACTATCATTTAAGAGTTAAATTTCTGATAAATATGACTCCAATATGACAGTGACCTAAATAGGTTTTGTTTATTGTTGGTCATGGTCATAGTTCAGTCCATGTTTGACGCTAAGGTCTAAGTTTGTACACAAATGTGTACGATGGTGCCCGCTAAAGACTCATGCAATGAATGAAAGCCCTAAATAAAGTATTAGCACTCTTCCTGCTTTATTTTGGGATCTATCACAGTGTTGGTAATGTTACACCTGTGTTGCGTGCTGCTTAATTCCTCACAGTTCGATGTGCCATGACCACGCACTACAACGACACTTTCACCTCTTAATGCCTGACCTGTGATCCACAGGAAATACTTTGGAGAGAAGATTGGCTTGTACTTCGCATGGCTCGGTGTTTACACTCAGCTGCTCGTCCCAGCCTCCATAGTGGGAATCATTGTGTTTGGCTACGGGGTGGCGACAGTGGATACGAATATACCCAGGTACACACGCCAGAAAGCCACTGCAGAAATCTCAAGTTCCACTGTTGTAGTTTCATTTGAAGAAGAAAGCCTTTGTGAAAAAATGGATTTAGAATGGATAAAGAGATGTTCCAGAAAACACTCACATTACCAGAATGCAGAAAATGAGGATTTCCTCCCACCACTAGTTTAATGTATGCACAGATGCCCATATGTGCACACACACACACACACACACACACACACACACACACTAGACAGGGATTGCCCAGATACCTGCTGTATCTGGCTTTAGTCAGGGTTGTGTGGGAGGTACACAGAAGGTACGGCTGGCAGCGTGTGTGTGAGTGTGTCATGAAAAGGTTGATATTCAGCCTACACTAAGTATGAGCAGGGTCAAAGTAGAAAAGCTTGTATTGTGGTTATGTGGTAAAACTTCCATTCATTTCTTATGGTTAAACATAACAGACCTCTTTTTGCTGGGACCTTGTGCACAGACAGAAATAGCTGTTAATCGTATGCTTGTTGCACGTGACTTACAATTAATGTTGATATATCTAACGGTACGCACTGTTTGACTTAAGTTTAGATTTTGTTTCCCTTTAGTCTGGAGATGTGTGACGAGCGCCTCAATTTCACCATGTGTCCTCTGTGTGATGGAGCCTGCGACTTCTGGCATCTCAGCACCGCCTGTGGCACTGCCAGAGCTTCACACCTCTTTGATAACCCTGCAACCGTCTTCTTCGCCATCTTCATGTCTCTGTGGGGTGAGGTTACTTGTCTGCATGAGTGCATGTGTGTGTGTGTGTGTGTGTGTTTGTATGTGTGTGAGACAGAGAGAGAGAACAAATGGGCTGAAAGTGGTGTTGCACATTAATATCTTATGACCTTCACCTCGAGTGTAAGTCGTGCTGAGAGCAACAGGCTAAAACAGCACACATTAAAGGTTGACACCTGTAGAAAATCAGAGTGGGGGGGGGGAACACATTACATTACATTAGTCACTGAAGAAGTAATGCCAAGTATAACATTTCCTTAAATCAGCTACAGCTTTTCTTTTGAGACAGTGCAACCACCTCAGTGCCACCTTGGATTTCTTTTGCCTGATATCGCGGTACTGTTTGGGCTGATTTTCCCTAAATTGCTGTTGGCTTTGTGGCAATATTTCATAAAAAG